TGGATCTAACCAACTGAGATACCACCCAGCACAGGACCGCAGGGTGCAGTTGGATCTAACCAACTGAGATACCACCCAGCACAGGACTGCAGGGTGCAGTTGGATCTAACCAAGTTAACTGCTGCTAAAACAAAAACCTCACCACTCTTCGGAACACTACAACAGGATCCAAATTCTCCACAACAAAACATTTGCATTAGCCGTGATAAAATCCAAAACTACTCGACATACGAGGCGTCAGTAATATGTAACCAGTTCCAAGGGAAAAGAGAATCAACAGATGCCAATTCTGAGATGATTTTAAGGCAGCTGTCATAACCATGCTTAGTAAGATGAAGGAAAATATGCTTATAATTAATGAAGTAATTTTAAAAGATTGGAAAAAATAGAAAATATAAAAGGGACATTTTAATGTTTTCATGAGAATTTTAGAACAGAAAAAACTGAAATAAAAAAATTCACTAGATAAACTCAAGAGAAGAATGGAGATAGCAAGGGAAGGAGTCAGTCAACTTGAAGATACACTAATAGAAATCATTCAATCTGAAGAAAATAAAGAAAAGATTTAAAATAATAAATAGAGCTTCAGGGAACTGTGAATTTTTCTGAAGCCTAACATAAGGATACTGGAATCACGGAAGGACAGGAGAGAAAGACTAGAGAAGGAAAAAAAAAAAAAATCAAAGAAACAATGGCTGAAATTTTCCCAAATTTAGTGGAAGACATAAATTTACAAATTCAAGAAGCTCAGCGACCCCATAAAACAAAACGAGACTATGGGGCACAACAGTCCAGGGACAAGGACTAGAAGGCAGGAAGGGACAGGAAAGCTGTAATAGGGAACCCAAGGTTGAGAAGGGACAGCGTTGACATGCCGTAGGGTTGTTAACTATTGCCATAAAACAATATGTGTACTAAAAAAAAAAAAGAAGCTCAGTGAACCTCAAAGAGGTTCAATAATCTGATTTTCCAGAGTTATCGCATCAGAAATCATGGAAGCCTGAAGACTGTGGAAGAGTATTTTTAAAGTGCTTAGAAGAAAAAAGAAACTGTCCATCTAAACTTCTCTGGCTTTCAGTAA